GCTTGGAAATGTCCAGGTGAGGCAGGCTAGTGCTAGTGCTGGGTCTTGAGACTCTTATTGATAGGTATAGGGCATGCTGACATCAGCTGCTACTTGTTTAAGAGATTTTAGGAAAGTCTGAAGGCTGATCCAGGACAGGCCATTCATATGGAAAAGCCTCTGCAAATAGTTTGGGTGGGGCTACAAGTTCGATGGGGCAGGGGTCTCAGGGAATCACCAGGTAGGAGCAAATAGTGTAAGCCATGCTGATAGAAACTCAGATATGGCTGCAAGTCAGCTCTGTGACTAGGGGAGGTCCCAGCACAGGAACAATGACCCCTGGGAGCACCCCTGACTGGGAGAAAGCCACCCCTGAGATCCTGTCCTTATGCCAAACAATCCAGTTCATCCCAGTATGTCCCTGGTTCCCCCAGTGCTGCCACCCAGAGCTGGAGCTCAGAGGGAGCGGGACCATATAAGTTTGGCCCTTTAAGAGGAACTCCCTGGGTCTCCAGCAGCCTCTGTGTCACTCAGCCCCAATCCCCACTGGTTTTTACAGCCCAAAGTTATGGGGACTTCTCTTCCAAGCTATGGAACTCTGGGCTAGGGGTCTGGTGTGAGGCTGGGACCCTACAGCCACTAAATCCTTCCCGATTATAAAATGCCATATGTTGGACCAGTCCATTTCGCGCCTCTGCCCCTCCAATCAGTCTCTACCAGTATGTATTTTCTTCTTTACTCCACTAGTTGTAGGACTTGCACTTCAAGTGGTTCTGAATGATGGTTTTTCTGTATTTTAGTTGTAATTTTGATGTAGTTGTGGGAAGCGGCAAGTACCAGCATTTACCTACACAGCCCTCTTGGTTCTAAACAGCTTATTTTATCGGAACGACTTGGATTCCAGCATGCTGTAGGACTCATTCCCCAAGAAACAGGAAGGGAGCTGATATTAAACCTGTGCTGTGTCAACTGAAGCCTGTGGTATCAGCATCATCTACAGGTTATGTCTGGCACCACCCTCTGGCTCCAGGGCAGCGTGACTCAAAGAAGATCGCAGCCAAGATAAACACCTCCTTGAGCCTGCAGCCAAGTGAGCACTTCTATCTCCACAGGAGCTAACAGAGTGCCTGGCGGGGTGCTATCCTCATTCATGCTTTATCTTGCTTGATTTTCTCAAGAAGGTTGTGGGTAGGTTCTTTTAATAGCCTTGCAAACCAAAGTGGAAAATTAAGCTTGGAGACACCACAGAAGGTGTCCACACTTATTGCATTTACTAAGAGGCGGAGCTGGAAAGGGAACCCAAGTCTGTCAGACACCAAACCTAAATTCCTAATCACAATCACTGTGCTACTGGAACTCCCAAGGTCTTTACATGTTTACAACTGTGCACATTAGGTCACATCAGGCCCTTTGTCTCTGAGTAAGTCCCGTAACCTCCCTGACATCAGTTTCCTTCCTCTGGAAAGTTAATGTGTCCTGCTCAACCTCACTCATGAGGCTCAAATAAACGAATATATGTGAACATTGTAAAAATAAACTCTAAGTGTCGATTTATGCAAATTAAAACTTTATTTTTGATGACAGGGAGGGAAACAGGTCATCCATGATGCTGTTTGGTATCCTATAGAAACTGCAGAACAGCCATCCCTGGGTCACTGGCATGGCCAAGCTCTAGGATAGCTCCGAGACAAGGCGGCTGGGGTTCTGAACTGACACCCTCCCCCATGTCAGTAGGCAGACTGCTGCTGTGGGCACCGTGATCATAAATGAATGCATCATCACCTTCACTTGGGAACCTAGTATTTCGTTGGAAGGATTTATCCTATTTTTATTTCCCATGAATCCCAGAGTCTAGAAGCACTGTGGCCTTCAGCTCCAGCTCAGCATTTGTGACCAGACTGAACTGAGCAACCCTGAGAGGGAACCTTTCTCTCCCTTCACCCAGCTGCCTGAACAGTAAAAAAAAATTTAAAAGAAAGTGTGTGTGTGTGTGTGTGTGTGTGTGTGTGAATGGTTATGGGTTGTTGAAATCCCCCAAAACTGGGTTTAGTCAAAATGTGAAAATATAGGCAGTGGTTTGGGGTATTTCTGTACTTGCCTGGTTTGAGTGTGATTTCATCAGGTCAGTGACTTTCCAAACATTTACTGCCCACGTCTGCCATCTGGTGGACAGTGCTCACTTTTTATTTCTGACCATTTTCTAAGTGTGCTTACATTCATTAAACAAAAAGCAGCAGTTACTCTTACAATGTAAGGCATATAAATTTGATATTATGATTTCCACGTTATAATGAGAAAACAAGGGCTTGGAGAAAGGAAGGAACCTGCATGTTCCTGGAACTACATTTAGTGACTTTTCCCTCCATTCAGCAAAAACTCAAAATACTTTAGTCTTGAACCACTGGGTTTGAGCCCCATGTAAGCCCTGGCTCAGTAGCTGTCACCAAGTGCGGTCCTTTCACAGAACTGAATTTGATCACTACCAGGCCCTCCTTAGTTTGAATATTTGCATATGGTAAAACTATCCGGTGCAATGAAAGTGCTGAAGTACTTCCAGAAGAAAAAGTGATGGCTGACACACCATTTCAACTGTGTGTGTGTGTGTGTGTGTGTGTGTGTGTGTGTGTGTGTGTGTGTGTGAATGGTTATGGGTTGTTGAAATCCCCCCAAAATGGGTTTAGTCAAAATGTGAAAATATAGGCAGTGGGAATCTCCTCAGGCTCCTTCCAATATAACCACTGACCGTTTTGTAACACGTGTACTTGGCTTTGAAGTTCTCTGGATGCAGGGGCATCTTCCACTCTGAGGAGAGTATGCCCTCCAGGGCGCAGGTGACTGAGCTCAACCCCAGTTGAGACTGCCATTCAGTAGATATGTGACCTCAGGCGAATCTTACAACCTCCCTGTGCCTCATATTCCTCACAGAAAAAAAAAGAGATAAAAAGTAGTATTCCCCTCAAAGGTGTTGTGAAGATTCAGCCACACAACTTCCGGAAGGCACTCAGCACCCAGCCTGCCATGTAAGACCTGAGTGGGTATCACCTGTCATTACGTTGCTAACAAGCACACGTGGTGTGTGTGCTGAAGGCTGCAGTAGTGAGACACGGGGTGCATGCTGGGGGCCAGCAGAGTGGCTGTTTATTTTAAAAATGTTCTCCTAGTGGTGGTTCTCAACCCAGGGGGTGCTCTGCAAGCACCTCTCCCCCGGAAGGGAAGGGCTATGCGCTGGAAATGGGCATGGGCATGTGGGTTTTCCAATGAAAGGAAACACTATTAACATATCGGGGAACTGGGTACAGAGCAAGGGACTGTCCCACCCAATTAAGAACTGTTCTTGAATAGACATTCCTCTAAAGAAGATGTACAAATGGCCACTGAGCATATGGAAAGATGTTCAACCTTACTATTAGGGAAATGCAAATCAAAATCACAATAAGACCTCACACTATCAGAATGGCTATTATTAAAAAAACAAAACAAAACAAAACAAAACCACAGAAGATAAGTGTTGGCAAGGATGCAGGGGAACTGGAACCTTTATCCATAGTTGGTGGGAATATAAGTTGGCGCAGTCGCTATAGAAATCAGTATGGCAGCTTCTCAGATTAAACATAGAATTACATGTGATCTAGCAATACCACTTCTGGGTACAAACCCAAGACAACTGAAAGCAGGGACTTGTACAGATATTTATAAACCCATGTTCATAGCAGCATTATTCACAATAGCAAAAGGTGAAAGTGATCCAAGTGTCCATTGATGAAGGAATGGATAAACAGGCCGTGGTATATCCAGATAATTAAATATTATTCAGCCTTAAAAAGCAAGGGCATTTTGACACATGCTGCAACGTGGATTAATCTTGAGAACATTATACTAAGTGAAATAAGTCAGTCACACAATAACAAATACCAGGCAGGGCAAAAGTAGGTATATAGTTGTGAGTACATGAAACACAGAGTTTATTTTCATATTATTACAGACAGTCCTCTGGTTGCGTCAGACTCGAAGTACGCCATTTCATGGTTACGTCGCCATCTCCCATTTACTTATAAAAAAAAAGTTCCGTCATTTTGACGTATCTACATGTGTGCTTTATGTTTTTTATTATTTATTTACAAGTAAAGGTCAGGAATTGTTATCTTTCTTTTAATTTTTTTTTTACTGTTTTACTTCATTACTACTGTGTATGTGCTCCATGTGAGTGACGTAGGTGCTTATGTAGGTGGGTTCCGACTTACGGCAAAAATCAAGTTACGTTGCGCTGTAGGAACGGATCTCCGATGTAACCCGAGGACCTACTGTATTTATTATTATTGTATTATTTTCCACACAAACAACTGTAAATCTGCTTTTTCCCCACCCTGTACTGTTTGATTCCACTTATATGAGGTACATACAGCAGTGAAATTCAGAGACCAAAGGTAGAAAGGTAGTTACTAGGGTGTAGAGGGAGGAGGAGTGAATTAGTGTTTAATGGGTACAGAGTTTCAGTTTTATGAGATGAAAAGAGTTCTGAAGATGGTGGTAATGACGTAAATGCACTCAGTACCAATGAACTGTACATTTATCAATGGTTATGATAGTGAATTTTATGTGTATTTAGCACAATTAAAAACAATTTGTCCTACCCTAAGTCCAATAACATCTCTTTGAGAGATGCTGCTAGAAAGTCTAAAAATAGTGAGAAATAAATGCATTTGGTTATAAGTTCATCCATACTAGTGAGACCTAAGATGACTAGTGCATTAGTCATACTTGTCTAGGTTCCTCTTTGGACAAGTTGCCAAGTTAAGGCGGCCCCTAAGATCAGGTTAAAGAGCACCTCAAGGAGCCAAAACCACAGTGCTGGGATCAGGAGTCACACTATTACACTGGTAGCTCTAGGTTCATGAAGTTGTCATTTATTTATAGTAATTAATTTATAAGTTACTCCTACTAAGCCTTAAAGTCACATGACAGACAACAACTTGGGCTTTCCAGCTTCAAAAGATACTTTCAGATTTCAATGGGAAACTTACCTTGTAGATACAGGACTTAGCATTCAGGAAGAAGAGCTCAATGGTGGCATTATCCTTTAGGTATGAAATGCTTTCTATGTAGAACCTGGAAGAGAAAAACCGCAGATGAATCACTGAAGCACCAACCAAGCAGATAATATACTATTCTCCAAGCTATAGGATTTGACATGAGGACCAGTGCTCCCAGTCCTAAATGAACACAAGAAAAATGAGTGATCGGTTATTTTCATATGATTCCATTTATAGGACCATCAGGCCTGATAGCCCTTATCATGGCAAAGAACTGGGCCTGCTATCAGCTTCTCAGAGTGGACTTACACTCGACCATCTACTTTCTTTTTCCTTACCTGCTTTCCATTTTGTTAAAAAAAACTATTTGTTTTCAATACAGTACTTTTTTGTCCTAATCACCATTGAGCTGGATTTTTAAAAGATAGTTTCTTCTGCTTCATCAAAACCAGGGGCCATATTTCTCTGAGAAATGGTTATGACCTGTCTTCCCGCAGGTGGTGAAGTGTGGTCTGATTTCTGCACATGCCGAGGGCTGTGGCACGTGTAACACTGTAATATTAATGTATATTAAGCCAAACGAGAATTGAATTTTTATCCAGATGGAGCTCATGGATTTTTTTTCAGAATGAAACATGCTGAAATTATTTAAGTTTACATTAAGTGCGCCTACACGTTGACTTTGGAGTTTATTAAATCCCTTAATTAGATAAGGATCATCTGCACTAAGAGAGTAGGCGCTGTGATGAGAGGGGAAAGAGGAGATGATTGAAATGCAGAGCCTTGGAGGAGAAGCAGCTCTGAATGGGTGTGACAACTCTTGGGGGGCCCTGGATACTTGCTGCACAGAAACTGGGGATACCAAGAGGGGACTGCAGGTGAAAAGAGAAGAAACGAATGGTATAATGTTCTAGAACAGCATTACAAGATGATGGAAAGGATCCTGGGGAAGAAGTCAAAAGGCCAGTGATCTGGTCCCAGCTCAGTGTGATTTAGGGCAAGTAACATAATCTCTCTGGGCTTCTTTCCCAGATTGTAAAAGGAGACAGCAGGACTTGGTCAGCAGTTCTATATCTAAGAAATCTACTGCTTTTAGGTACAGGAAACTAATTCAGATTAAAACAATAACAACAGCAAAAAACAACAAACCAACATTATATAAAGCAAACAAAACATGTCCATATGCTAGGTCAAGTCCACAGCCCACCAGTTAGCAATCTTTTGTCTCTACATACTGACTAAACAATGTGTTCCATCATTTTTCAAATGTGCATGGAGGCTATTGTAATACATTACAGATTCATTTAAATTTAAATTCACTTAAAGTATTAGCAGATATTTCCAATCAACAGATATCAATACAATTACCATCATGTAAGAAAGAGTCTACAGAATTTTTGGAAATCACTTTATGGCCCCCATTCTTGCAAAGCCTGGGAAAGAGAAGGCTGGTTGATCTCTACGACACCTCCTCCTCCACAAAAGTAAATGAATGAGTGAATGAATGAATGACTGAAGGCATCTGCCTCCCGGAGCAGGTGCCATAGGATGTGGATGCCTCCATGTAGCATCCGTGGTGGTGGTCTCAGAAGAACTGTCCAGTTGTATAACTTTCAGTTCCATAATAATGGAGACTTGCAAAGCAGTAGCAAATTCTCCATCTCAAAGAAAATAAGTTAAAGTTGATTTAATTAAAATCTACATCCACTGTAAAGGGCTTTTGGAAAGAGGTAGTCAGAATAGCAAAATGAAAAAGGAAGGAAGGAAGGGAGGGGGAAACCCAGGGGAGTAAAGGGACAGGAGAGGAGGGAACCAGAGGCAAAGAGGAAAGGTGACAAGCCTTGGATCCCACTCTACGTGGTTCAGAAGAATGCCAGCTCGGCTGGGTGACTTGCAGGTGTGGCTATTACAGATGAAACTTGCTTTTTGCCTTTGTTCAAGCTATTCTTCTCATTGGCCCCCCAAACAATCCTCCACACCCTAACTCACTCCAGCCCTTGGCTCAGGACCACCACACATTTTATCTGATTCCACTCTCTCCCCACAGAAGCGCTCCTTTCCCAGGACACCCTTTGCCTGTGGCAATGCCTCCAGGTCCTGTAATTTTCTGTCCCCTGGGAAGTCCCCTAAGGAGGCTGCTGTTGTTCCTTCCTGGTCCAGTGCCTCTCCAGCACCACTACAGTGCCTGGCACAAACATGAGCTCACTACGCATCTGTGAAGGAAACTCTCCTTTCACCACTGGCTGGAGTTCTACTGGACAGTGAAATGGGCAATGAAGGCAATGCAGGAAGGAGAAGAAATACCTGGTTTCCCAGATGTCACAAAATTCTAGGTTACGGGGTTTTATATTCCACATTCAGCCCTTGCCCTTGCCCCTCCCTCACTGTTACCATGGAAAGTTGTTCAGACAGAGCTGCTGCCCGCCTTGACTCCTAAAGCCAAACAACAGCAGAGGCGTCTTGAGTTCAACAGCGAGTGAGCTGAGCTCTGTAATAATAATTGTGAGTCTAAACCTGTTGGCTCTGAAGTAACTTCATTTCAAAGCAATGCCTTATAGCTTTATTGGATTGTTTTCATTCCTGAGAATTTAGGAGTGAAGACATTCTGTCTCTCCAGCTCCCATTTTCTCACCAGTATATTAAGGAAACAACAATTCCATTTTCAACTCTCCAATAATAGAAAACTTAAATGAGATGGCAAATTCTACCTTTTCATTTTTGCAACAACACTCATTTCCACCGAGTTCTGTGTTGTCTGGCTGTCCAAGAGGCAGGAAGGTAGAGGAAATAACAAGCATATTCTCACATGAAGAAAGCAATTCATCTCCTCTTGACACAAATTGTAAAGCAGTTTCCTGTTAACCTTTATCACCAAGAAACAGCCTGGAAAGCCCTGTGAGTTCCAGGCCTGTCATATTATTATTCTATAACCGGGGATATTCAACTCATCCTGAACTTTCCATCTGTGCTAGAGAACTAGTGAGTCAAAAATGCATAGAGAGAAACAGGCCTCAGGCATCTCAGTGCACATCCCGAGGCCCAGCGCCCCCGGGAGGAGAAACTTCTGGGGAAATGGCAAATGATGGTGGTTTCAGTTCACAGTAGAGATTTTCGATTTTCTCCTTTTTAAAAAAAAAAAACAAACACAAGTTCTGATTTATTTTTCTGAGAGCCTTGTCAAAGGTACTCCTTTTTGGCAGTAGGTGGCGATGTTGATTTATTTAACTACCACCTCGTTCACAAAGAAAATTCCAGGCCTCTGGGTAAACCCCCCAAAATGAGCATTTTCTTATAGAATCAGAGAATCTGAATGGACAATTCCAAGTCTGGTTCTGTACTAACCATGGGTTAATACCCACATCTGGGGCCTCACTAACTCTGGAGGGTCCACCCTCCCAGCATTAGCCTATTCCTAGAGATAGTAAAGGACTCACCTGGGAGCATGCCCTTCATACACAAACCAACCCATCCAGAGCCCACCCCGCTCCGGCCTCCTCCACAGGGCTCTCACACTCAGGCCAGACCCGCCTACCCTCATCACTCCAGGGCAAGGAACCAACAACTTGGGGCAGCCTCTCAGCCCGAGTCCTCTGAAATTATTCAAAGTAGCCAATCCTCACCCATTCCTCCCCCAGAAACAATAGAGGCTCTTGCCCTCAGTTCCCTGTCCACCTGGCCTGGTGCGTCTGTGCCTGTGGGAACTCTGAGTAGCAAACTGCCTTTTCAATGACAGCTGTCTCATGGTCTATTGTTCTCACTGTACCTGATCCATAACGAAACCTACACTTTAACAGGTTCTTCAGCAGACTGGGCAGGACTGGATCTTAGGGCTTCTTTTTGAGGCAAAGGGAACAGTGTCCCTAGCCAAGGGCACACCGGGCCAAGAATGCTCTTTGGGCTCCATGAGCAATGTCACACAAAACCTGGCCCAGGTGACCCCAACCAGGAATGTTTTATCACACTGTCTGAGGTAGGACTAAATATGTGCCAAGTCATGTGTTTACACACATTACATACACAAGAGGCCCTGAAGTCATGGGAGCCTCTGACTACAGTGGACCAAACACTGTCCAACTGATGGCATCTGCCAGGTCCCCCCTCTGGCCCCTCGCTCCTCCTCTTCCCTCTCACACCCACCCCTCACACTGGGAATCACTGAGAATTTAGAGCAAGTGTTAATTAAATGGACCAGTGATTTCATTTTGTAATGAACAGAAATGTCACATTTGGGAAGCTGACTTTTCATAGCAGAAAGGAGCGATCACAATGAGAAGGGTAAGTGAGACAGCGGCCAAATGTCTGATGGTTAGAATTTCAATGGCACAGAAATCTTAACTGGGACACCCAGTTGGAATCTAGCAGGTTCTGGTTAGCAGGCACCTAATTTTATACCCATGTTCCTGTGAGTGACAGGAAATAGCAATTGGTGTCTCCACCAGTCAGGAAACACCCAGTCAGGCCATGAACTGCCTCGAAAATCCCCTCCCCCAAATTAAAGCTTCCTCTTCCTTTTTTCCTAGTGCCCACTTCAGTTCATTGTTTGTGAAAGTCTACATCTGAGGAGACAAATCTCATCCCCATTTGTTTTCCTATGAACAGGGAAGATGACCAGAGCTCCAGGGACACTTGGCCGGAGAAGACACAATTAAAGGAACAGTCAGACGTGGAGGACACATTCTAAGCACAAACTTGTGTCTGTCAAAAGGCAGAGAGCCCCGGATGGGTGGCTCAGTTGGTTGGAGTGTCATCCCATACAACCTCAGGGAGCGAATGGGAGGCAACCATTCAATGTTTCTCTCACATCGATGTCTCTCTCTCTCTCTAAATCAATTAAAAATTATCCTGGGGTGAGGATTTAAAAAGCAAAAAAACAAAACAAAAAAAACGAGACTTCCTTAGGTGGGTTGGTAAATTTCCCTTGTTTTTTTTCTCGGCCTATTTCTTAAGTCTGCCTGGTAAATACTCTCAGAGGGTCATTATTCTTCAATTTGGGGAGCCTGCCTCATGGCTTTAAACCAGTGGTTCTCAACCTTCTGGCCCTTTAAATACAGTTCCTCATGTTGTGACCCAACCATA